CCTGCAGCTGAGGAACTGGAAGTCTTATTTTATGCATCACCATTTGCGCGGGGCACTGTTGCAGTTTGGAAAGCGATCACCCGTGTTGCCGTACTCAGCCGCTGCACTCGTGGGAAGGGTGGCGTTTTGGTGCTGCGAAGAGCCCAACTCTGCCGGGTGCAGACCCACTGCCAGCTCCCATGCTGATGGCTGGTGCTGCTTTGGGTGCGTGAGGCCGCCCGGCAGCCGGGCCAGGGAGCGGGTGAAGCTGCCGACCTACCTCGAGCTGGTTTTCCTTCTCAGCATGCAATACCAATTCCCACTGGTGGTTATGGGCATGCTTATCTGGTTCTCCTTGCAGGTGGCTCACTTACCTCTATACCAGGAAAGGTATTTTCAGAGAAGACCAAGGATTTGTGCTTCTTCTGCAGAGTACCTTATAAGCCAGCCAGATCCAGAGGGGATTTCGTTGGTCGAAATGCCTAACCAACCCCTTCGAAGGGAATCTTCTTGAAGCAAAGTAAATGTGACTGCTGCTGTACACTGTACAGTATATAACAGCCCATGTTCTCAGCCCTGCCTATTTGCTTAACTACCTTCTGTTTGTTAGGCTGTGATAGGTAAAAGATAGAAATCCAGTAATTTAACATCTAACAAAACAGGCGGTTTAAGGTGAGTGGAAGCCACTACAAAAGTAGAATTTCAATTAATGTTTTTCTGTTGAAAACAATTAATATAGAAGTAAATTTATATTACTGCTTACTTGGAACCCTTTTGCACTCAAGGTTTTGCAAAGCAAGCTTTTACAAGCATGAATATTGAAAAGAAAATTAACGTTACATCTCAGGACTGAAACACGATAATAGGAAATGTCAGTTGTGTTTTAGATTTCAAAATTTATGGTGCATGTAATGTTGTTTTGTTACTGCGTCGTAGAAACGGAGTGGGTAATATGATTATGTATAATTAATCGCAAAGCCTGAATAGCACACCTGGGATTTGTGATAAATAGTTTATTCTTTAATGATCTGTAGCCCAAGAGATACTCAGTGGACACAATTGTAAATAGCTCCATGTAATGGATATTATGGAAATTTAGTGATCTGGTTTTAAGAAAGTGCATGGATAGAAAAAAGGTTTCTCTAATGCATTTTTAATGGCAATATTTCCAATTTGGTTAAACAGCTATCATAAGGAGGTGGATTTTTTTGTTGTTTATTAGCCAATTCTAAGTATCTATCTTTATTCTCTTACTTTTGGGAAATGTGCCCAGTAAGTAATAAATGGGATATTTATAATACCAGGCAGAGGCAAATGTTCTAGAAAGAGGGGAGGCTGAAAAAATTCCAGATTTGTTAGGTGCACTGCTGGCCAGAGTTGAAGCCTTTGCATTACATTTCCATTTAGCTTTTAGTGAGATAGATGTTATTAAAGAAATAGATACCTGTCATAAAGACTTCATGTTGAGTTTTATGGATATCCTTTTAACAATAACCTGCCTTAACGTCTTTGGATGAGTTAGCAAGAATTTAGGGTTTTGAATGAATAAGGAAGGAGGAGTGTATGAGGAGAAGGAAAACTGTAGCTTTCGTTTGGCAGCCTTACCAAATCAATTTTCTGAATCCCTAAGAAAATGTGCATTATAAAGTTATTTCTCAACTAACTGGGGCTCTTACCTTGATTTCCTTGTAATGCTGTCTTTGCTGGGTCAACAATGCTGTGTCTTCACTGTCACGCTAGGGAGTGCCAGTGTGGCATGAACATTGAAAATTAAGCACATGGCCTGGGACACTGAGATGGAGACTTGGCTGTGTGGGTGCACCAATTAGCACAGGCGGGGATTTGACTAGGAAGAACTAATCTGTCTGTGCAGGCTGGTATGGACACAAAAGGACGGAGAATAGACAGAACAGCAATTTTTATCTTCTCCAAATCTCAGTTTAGTGATCTGAAGCCTGCTGAGAAAAGGTTTCCTTGTCTTTGTGACAGCTCGTGGACATCAATGGAGAATTCCGTAAAACAGTCTGAAAATCAATAGGCTACCTAGACAAGTGGCGATTATGACCACCAGGGAGTGACAGGGGGGTTGGAACTAGATGATCTTAAGGTCCTTTCCAACCCTAACTATTCTATAATTCTATGATGAAGAAAAAACTAACCCAGCAGCTGGAGGTTTAGGATTCTTCTGAGGTGACAAAGTAATTCACATTAATTATAGGCATTGTTTTTTAATGCTAATATTCCATTTTTGTTCAGTTGTTAGGAAGGAAGAAACAGAAGAAGGAGTATTTTGGGAAAAAACAGTCAATGGTAAGGTGGGAACACTAATTCTTACTCTTCTATTGGCTCCTGATTAGCAATTGTCTAAGCCTACCGAGAATGCGACAAGCTTGCTTTGCAGCAATGTCAATGCTCAGCCTTTTGCAGGAAAGCTAGATGGGAAACTGGGAATCTGCCTGTTCAACAAGCAAACTTCAACTTTCAAAGCTGTGTAAATGACAGAAGGAAACTCATCTGAGTTTCATTTGGATGCCTTCACATTTCTGTGGCATGTTATGTACTAAAAGTGAAGAAGTGGTTTCTAGTTCTCTCTGAGACTGAAACACATCCTAAAATTCTTTCTAAAAAATCCAGCTGCATTCTTGCATTCAAGTATTGTATTTAATAATGCATCAGCTGCACCAATTACTTATAGTCACTGTAAACATTGTCTGTGAAGTGTAGGTGTACTGTACCAGATGGGATTGCTTACACATGCACAAAGGCAACATCATTCTCAACATGATATTTGTTCCCAAGATCAATATAAATTTTCTTAGCAGCCAAGCTAGCAAGTGACATGCCTTTGACCAAATCCAAAATCACATAATGAAAGAGATGGTTTTGTTTACAAGTCATGAAGGCATTTAAAATGTGTAACTGGCCAAAAATCACAAAGAGGGTATGAAGCGACTTACTCTGCTTACTAGGCTGCAGGCATTTTGAAGCTTGGCAGCTTCAGAAGCCAGAGGGACAGACAGACTTACTGCTGGGAGATAGCAAAGCTATGTTCACTGGCCCATAATGTATACTCATAGCCAGCAGGGCAGGAAACACAAGCTGAAGTTCATGTTTTGTAAGTCCTTACAAATCTGTCTGCTCGGACCGCTAACGAGTAGAGAAGAGAAATATGAGGCTTATTTTCAGAAACATTAGTTTGAGTTACTGCTTCTGTCCTTAGGACTGTGATTTCCTCTTAAAAGAATATTTTTAGGCTGCAGGTGCGCATCTGTTCATTTGATTTCCTTTTTGCTTTCACAAGATCTTTCAGCTCCTTTTTTCCTTATGTCTCTTTCTAATGTTCAGGACTTTTAGATAAGGTGCAGGGATTTTTGAAATGCCCTAGAACATGACAACTGAAGAAGAAAATCTCATTGCTTCTCTTTCAAGAGTTTTGAGCTAATTAAATTTACCCATCAAAAACTATTTGCTGATAGCAGTTTCTGCAAAGACAGCTTGCATGACACCTGGACTGTGAAAGAGGCTTCTCAGTCTTGGCCTTTGCCAAGGAGTAACTCAGGTTTGGAGGCCTTGAAAGACTTAGTTCTTTCTGTAGGACGCATCGGGGACATGGAGCCAAACTCCTTATAGCTTATGACTCCAGAGTAAGTACGCAGATGCCGTTTCTTCAAATGAATTGTAGCAAGGGGAAGGTGAGTGTCTTCTCTTGGAAAATGTTTCCCAAAGGCATTTCTGTCCTGATACCATCAGCAGTGTTTCTGTGCTCCTGCTTCACACCAGCTGCATTGTCCCTGGCTTCTGTTCTTCCCCATTCCTTGAAGAAATCCATGTCCCAGCCTGCTTTCTGAGTCCACGTAGTCCAGGCGCAATGTATTGCCTGAAGAAATATAGGTAATTTCATCCGATTAATTTGTCTGTGTGTAATTTACAGTTGCTTAACATGGGTAAATCTAGTTTGCCCAGCTCCTACTTGGAAGAGAGTTTGTAATAGAGCGCTGTTTGAAATCACAGCCCTTGCATCTATTTAGTCTGTACTCGGGAAGGATAAGCCAGCAGAAGCAATGACAGTTGCATCAGGCAAATCACAGGGTTTTCCTGGTGCTGCTATCCATTCTGGTGCATAAACTCCCCCACAATCCTATAGAATGTTAAAAAATTGATCTGTCATTTTAGTAATAAACGTACATTAGTTGCAGTTTTTAAACTGGCATTTAGAGCCTTTTGGATACCTATGAGACTGCATCAAACACACAGTGAAATGGAGTGCAGCGATAACAGAAGATGCCACGTATTTGGACTAAGGAAAATGGAAGGACTATTTGTACATTCTTCTCTGGCTTTGCCTCAGGCAGGGGGCTTGGGGAGGGTGTGGATTACTTCAAGGATGACAAAATGATGTGCCCAAAGATGGAGTAAACTTTAATATGAGAGCTTTGAGATCAAGTCTCTCAACCAGTTATTAGAGTTGTACCTGGGCTCTTGTCCTGTGCCTTACCCTCCCCTGCTTCCCAAAGAAATAGGTTAAAGATCCAGGTGTGTAAGACTGAATGGGACAGTGGTTCTGAGCAGCTTCCCACAGCCTCAGATTTTTGCCTGTGTGTATAATCTCTGTTAGCAAGTCTTTAGTATCTGTTTGGTCATGAAGAGATTATGAAGATATGGAGAAAAAACATATGGCTTAGCCTAGGGCCTAATGATTAATGTACAAATTTGTGTCCCATCCATTGTCCCTAAATACCTCTTAGCATATGCATGTATGGCTGCTCACCAATGGTTTCAAAGGAAGCTCTGCTTTTCTTTTGGTCTGCTTCTGCTGGACATGTGTTTCCTGACTGATGCCTGACATCAGCCTTCCAGGAAGACTAGAGAAGACTTTGCTGTTGAAGACAGACTGGCAAGCAGTGACAGACTGGCAAGGGTTGCATTCTATCCCTTTTGATTGCTTTGGCCCAATACCACCCACAGTAAAACAGGAATAGAAGTGCAGTCAAGAGAAAGAAACAGATAGCATTGACTGAGGCTGAGTTTAAAATCTTTTATTATTTAGCTTTGCCAAACAGATAATGGAATCTGAAGTTGCTTTGCTAAAATGTTTTGAAGTGGATGCCACCCCTGCCTGAGACAAAGAGGACCTCAGTGGCAGCAGGGACCCTTAGGGTATGGCAGCAGTTCAAAAGAACACTTTTAATTTTGTATGCAACAATGTAAACTTCAAAAATAGTAAACTATAACCCTTCCCCCCCCACTTTTTACATAGCATGTGATCTATCACAGATAGAAATTTAATGGCGAACCAAAATCGCGTAAGTAAACATCCTGGTGCTTACAAGTTTCATAAAAAGTGTTACATTTGATGTAAATATCTCACATTTTTACTCTTAACACTCACAATTATGGAGTAAAAGCAACTGGTGATTCACCCCCGTAGTCCGTGCTCTCAGACTGTACATCAGCAAACACGCTCCTGCCAGCCCCTTTGATCGTTTTTGGTTGGCTTGTTCCACACATGACCAAGACTTCCCCTTCCTCACACTGGTGTTAACCAAACGCAGCTTCACACAGGGGTAAAACCTGTGCAAGTGAGTAAAGAACCAGGTCTGCTGCATGCAAATGTACGTGTTCCCACAGAAGCCACGGCGTGTATGGAGCGCACGTCCTGATGTCGGTGGGAATTTGGGGTCCCCCGGGGCCGCAAGCCTGAGCCCTGCCATTGCAAATGCCTCTTGGCAGGACCTGGTTCTGCGTGGATAAAGACAAGAGTTCTGTAGAAGGCACTGGATTTCTCTTGCATGATTTTATACGTGGACTACAGTCATGTGCAGAATAAGGAGATTAGTGCTCTAGACTGCTTTCTCTCTAGTCCTTTAGTGCAAGCATTTTTAGCACTTAAATTTTCTCCTGACTGCAGTGCAACATGCGCTCACCTACATAGAGTGATTTCCAAACCTCTTTCCTTCCTTCCACTCTTCCCCCCATCTTCCAGTCCCAGAAAGTTTCCCTTTTATTTTCCGTGACAACTTTCAGAGTACAGCTCTGGTCAAAAATAAAGGTGTGATGTAGCATAGCATTTGTTTCTTTAAATCACAGTGTGCAATGCATCATTCAGTACCTAATGTTCAAAATGTCTGCCCTGCATTTCATGAAAATCGTTCTTTAAAATAACCTATGCAAATATATTTTGACTATATATTACATTCATTTAAAAAGAGAAGAGAGGTTCTTGGTTTGCAGGTTTTTTTTTTCAGTGTACTACTTAAGTGAAAGGTCTGATGTGAAAAAAGTACAAGCAAACTGGACATGCCAAGATTCAATGCCTTAGATGGTGATCATATCAAAACTGTACAGGTATGTACACCATGTTGGACAGGTGTGCTTCTTTCCAAGAAAAGACCTTTGCATCATCATAGATAAGGTTAACCACAAAGTTTTGTTAAAAAGAGCATTTAATGAGCAAAGGATGACATGGAGGGACGAGTTCTCCGGCTTTTGTTAGGCAGTCCTGAAGTAATGTCTCCATTCCCTTCAGGGATTTCTTCCTTCTTCCGGACTTTGAGACGCGTGAGGAGCTTTATTACCCAGACGTCCCACTCCTCTGGCAAGAGCAACAGGAGAAAGCCCAGGCCAATAATGATAATGGCGATCACCCGGACACTGTTGAAGACAATTTCACTCGTGTAGTGATCAACAACTGTGTGGGACATTGAACAGCTGTTATTACATGGAACAAAGCATTAGGACAGTATCCCTATCCCTCCCCTTTGCCTCCCCAGGTCTGGAGGCTGGCTTCAGCAGGAGAACATGGCCATGGAGGCAGTGGTGGCAGGAACACTTCCTGATGATTTAGCACATAACAGGGTATGGCCCCCTTCAGAGCAGGCAGAGCTGGCCCGTGGGCTCAGCATGCAAAAGGCACAACACCTGGAGTTGCAATTATTGTCTGCAGTGGCATCTTCTCCCTTGCTCACCGACAGCACAGGAGCTCCCACTGAGGTCCAGGTACACAGAGAAAGGGGCATTTCCCTCCCCAGCACAGCAACTCCTTCGTGCTAATTTTAATTCTCACCCTGACAGCCTCACTGAGTAAGAAACCCTGTGGACACTGAGCCATGCACATGCTCTGTGGGATCACGCCACTTGGTACCAAAACCTGCCAGGGCCACCAGCAGTGCCTGGCCCTTCATGCCTGTAGTCAGCACAAAGCTGGGATCTTCTGCCTGCACCGTGGCACCAGTTCAGCCTGGCTGGCTTTGGGAGAGGTGGCTCTGGTTTGAGCCGGGGTTGCCTCTGCACTCGCCTGCCCAGCACTCTCTGGCTCTGCAGTCTCTTGGCTTTCACTAAATTTCAGAAAACAGTCAGTGAAATGTACCAGGCCATGCCCAAAACTGAATTGTCCAGAGCTCTTGAAAAACACCTGCAATGCTGGTTACCAAGGCAAGCAGAATTACTAGTATCTGTTTACTTTAAAATATAAGCAATTTTATTTGGTTCAATTTAGTGTTAAGCCTGCCCTGCAGAAATCATTAAGAATTGATTTCTACCTCATCCGTGACTTGTCATTCCAACCTCCGAGATCTACTTTGAAAAACAAATCTACTTTGTTTTTCAGTAGCCAGGCTTCTTTGGACAGTAATTTAAAAAGCAGTTTTAGAGATTATGAATATTCATGTAATGTTATACAACACATTTAACACATAAAGAGTGCGCTTTTTATCTAGGTTCTCTCCATAAGTCTTTGAGAGAAGATGCAAAACATGTTTAATAAAGCTATTTGATTGTATCCCTGCTCTGCATTTGAAAGGCCACAGATTTAATTTATTCATTAAGATGCAAAAGACAGAAATTCTTACCTGCATTCACTGGGACACTCAGCACAATTCCAAGAGAAATCAAGGTGGGGTAGGTAATAGCAATCCCAAAATTTAGTAGAATATTGAATGCTGAAGAAGGAAAGAAAAACACTTTTTACTACAGTGAAACTAGGCAGAGGGCCAAATCACTCTTGTTCTAAGGCGATTAGCTTCAGCAAAGTCAGGACAACCTCGCCAGTACTGACCATGTCAGGAGCTGGGGCTGACTGTAGTAGTACCTATACATCACACAGCCCAGTGATCTCCTGCCAATTGCTGTTCTGCTTGCTCATAGAAACCTTCCATTTGAATCCACTGATAAATAAACTGGAGTTACTTGTAGAGCCATGTGTTGTGACTGTTCTGGGTAAGAGGAGCTGGGACTCAAGATAGGTATGGAAAGGGCTATTTCCAGTAGAAACAAATGGAACATTCTGGGAGATGTGATGGCATCATCCTGTGTAGTGAGCAACTGTGGCAGCACAGTCCACATATCTAGTTTGACAGGGAACAGCATCACACTTCTCATGACCATGACTCATTAAGGCTTAGATTTGGCATCCCTCCCAAGCTGGGCTCCCTTGGTGGCACAGCAGAGGCAGCAGAACAGAGGAGAGCCACCTACCTAATTCCCATCCATGCTGTGCAATGCTACATTTTCAAAACTTTCCTGCTCATTAGGAACAACAATTAGCTATTACTGAAATCAGCAGAGGCACTGCAGGTTGGCCTTGACTTGCCTGACCTAACCTGCTCGCTCGAGGGATGCTGATGAGCTCAAGGTAATGCCCTGCCAGAAGGGCTGCTTCCCATCACAGCCCAGGCAAGTCTCGCTGTCTCTCTCAAGCAGAGTTCACAAGTAGGAGTGAGGACAAGCTTTACAGTTTACTCCCACAGCACCTTCTAATGAGGGCCACAATATTATGGCTTGGTAATAACAGCAGAAGTGGGTTCTGCATTGCCACCTAGGAAGGGACCCTCTGCATAATTTCTCAACCTAATAACTGGGTTGAGAAGAAGGGAAAACAGCTCCAGAATGTCAGAGGTCTGCAGCAGCCAGTTTTGGGAACCCTCCTCCACCCCGAGCAGTGTGAAAATCTCCCATCTACTCACTCAATAACAGAATTGAAAATCCACAGAGGTTTCCCCAAGGAATGATGTCAAAAGAGCTCCAGTACTCCACTTTGGTAAAATAAAGGATGACAGGAATACAGGTAACGAAGAGGATGTTGAAGACGGCTAACACAGACAGGAATAAGGCAGCTTCTCCAAATTTAGCACTGCCCAAAAGAAGTTTGAATAAAACCTACAAGAGGAAAACACATGGGTTTAACTCTCTTGCACCACTCCTCTGGAGGGCTGGTTGCTGTCTTGGCTCCAGTGGCTCCCAGAATGCTGGCCCACTGGTCAGTGGTTGGGGCCAGTGGGCTGCTGTCAGTCAGCACCTATATGGCAATGCTTGCCAGACACTTGAGGTGGCTGCTTGTGAAGCTGTGATTTCCAGCTTGTGTGCCCCAGCCTTCTCCCTGCTGGGAGCCAACTAGAACACAGGAAAGGGCAACCACCAAAGGAGCCCATGCAGGAAGGGGGCTCAGCACCTTTGGTCCTCTGGATAAACTAATATTAAATCCAGAAGACTTGGTGAAGCAGGGCAGGGGTGAAAAGAAAGCAACCTGTGTGATCTCCTTGCATGAGACATCACTGGTCCAGACCTAGAGCTGCCACCTGAGGAGCGCTGCCTTGCTAAGCAAGCACAGTCCAAGCTGCCCGGCTGTCCTCCTGCCTTGTCCTGCTGTGCACCATGGCCTGCCCACAAGCACTGCTGTCCCTGCCTCCCAACACATGCTCACAGTGCCAGACCACTTTCTCCCTGGGAGCTTGTTCCCAGAAGGCAGATAGTGCAGCAGCAGCCTCGCAGTCTGGAACACAGCTGCAGCCTAATGAGACCACAGGGAGGGATTTAAAAGCTTTGGTTTGTTAACGGGAGAAGGGATAAAGACAGAGGAAACAAGGGATGTGAGTGGCCCATTGAAGAAGTCCCCGCAGACAGATTTGGTCTGGTGTCTACATCAGTTTTCCACATAAACTGGAGAGGATCCAGCAGAACCCATGGGCTCTGGGTACAGCTCTCCTCTGCCACAGGCTGCAGACTAGTACAGCTGATAGAGTCTGACTTACTGTTTTGTGCTGGGATGGCCAGCCCCCTCACCAGTGTCCCTTTGCCTACCCAGAGACCTGCAGGCAAGTCTGCAGGGCCGCCATGCTCATGGAGCTGCTGCCTGCTCCCACCACCTCACAGCTCTCACTGCCAGTGCAGCTGCGTTGCCACTCTGCATAATGGATTACTCCTCATGTGCCACCTGAGGATGGCTTGTTGCCCCTGGCAGGGCTGGCAGCTGACACCAGCAGGCTGAAGTGTGTCTGGGGTAGAAGGGCAGGTGGAGGTGGTTCTGCTGCATGTGGCACAGCTTATCTGCTGGCAGAGCTGCCTGCGTGCTATGGCACAATTCACAGAAACTGAGCCAGGCTGTGGGAAGCAAGAGCTGAGTGGCATTCATTGCAGAACAAGCTGCACAACTCCATCTGCCCTTGCATGCAGGGTGTACTGCAGTGAATCACCCTGCCAGCACTGCCACCATCATCTTTCTGTGCGTGGGCTCTGGTGGAGCAGCACCTGCAAGGTGCCATAGGAGAAGGGGCAGAGCTCGTATCTAGCCTTGAATAACCCTGCCTGCCTGCAGATGACTCCAGATCCATGGTGTTTCCTTGGGTCTGGAAAGCCACATCTCTCTTCTTGAATCTCTCTTCTCTTTCGTTTTCTTTTAGGGGAAAGTGCTGTATGACACTTCACAATCTCCCTTATGTAAGACACAGGCTGATCTGAAAAAGGAGCAGAAAGCATTGCAGTGCAGTGTTGAGGGACATGGACAGATGCTTCCCAGTTTGGCGAGCCTCCATGGATTGCTTGCGTTAAGGCTGCAGGGCTCGCCTGGTCAATTTCTGTTGCAGGACTGGAATGGTGCAATTCATTAGGCCATATGGAGTCATCTACACCTCATCCTGGTCTTTCTACACATTCGAGCTAGGGTGGGTGACCCACACCCTACAAGTCCTTGTTCCTCTCTGGACTGTGACTCTGAGTGCCATGAGCAGCACAGAGGCAAATGCATATACGTGTCCCAGGCTACATGAAACAGCTCTCTGCTCAGCAGAGAAGGCTGCATGTCCTCTTACACACTGTGCAGTTTAACCTGCTGGTCCCTGGATGAGACCTTGTGCTCTGGATTCTAAGCATGTAATTATTTCCATGATAAGCAGCACTTTAAGCCCAATGCACCTACATATGCCACTGAAAGAGGACTGGCAAGGAGAGGTAACAAACTGACTTGAAAAAGAAGCTAAACCTCTGAAAGGTGCTTCCAGGGCGAGTGATTAAATCTAGCACCTGTGGAAAAGAAGCCTCATTTCTCAAGAATGCAGGGCAGCTCTAGTTCTCCTGTGGACACTGGAGAAGACTCTTCCCAGGAAAAAGGAGTTTTCATCCTAAGTGAATGCCTGAATGCAGTGTTGTAGTCAGTGTGCTTATGGCAGAGCCTCTGAAAGAAGGGAATGTGGCACTGAACTGCATGAAGGTCTGCAAGTAAGACAGGAGCAGTTCAAAAGAGTGAAGAGGGTGACAGCCACCTTTCAGGGTGTGGAGGGGAAGACCAAGGTGTGCTTACCTTGTAGAGAGCAGACATTGAGGCAGAGCCCACCACCAGGGCTATCCCAATAACTGAGTGGCTGTGAAACCCATCAGCGTACGTCATCATAACTATCCCTGCAATGGCAAATATAGCAGCCACAATCTAGTTGGAGACAAAGAAAGAAAGCAAGAAAAGTGTTACTAGACAACCACCAACACAGAAAAACAGGTGAGCAGGTTTAAATGAGAGGGCAGTACTGCATCATCTGCTTGTGTAGAAAACTGGAAGCAAGCCCTGCCTGATACCCATGGAGCCAGTGCTGCCTCCCCTCTCTATTTCCCTGTCTGCAGAGAAGCTACAGGCAGAGCTGTGAAGCAGTTCTGCCATGGAGCTGTGTGGCAGACCAGAACACTGGTCCCAGTTTGTCTCGGGCTGAGCAGAAGGGGGATTTCATCTCTGTTATTGGGTCCCTGCAGCCTCTGCGTGACAATAATGCAGAAGTAATAGTTCCCTGGAGCTTGCAGGGAAGGCTTTGAGTGCGGTGGAGGCTTTGGAGGAAAAAGGTTTTTGAAATAAACAGGGGAATAAAACTCTTGCAACCACTTTTCAGTTCATACACATCATTTCAGAGAGGCAGGTTTAGTCATCCAGCAACGCCTGAAGGGAGTCGTTCCAGGGGGGGTAGCATGGATACAGGCTGCAGGGTCAGCAGCTTCTCTGGGACTATCCTGCCAGATGCCTCAAGCCTCCCCAGGAATTAATTCCAGAGTGAAAAGGGCTTTCTGCATGCTCTGTGCCTCATGGCTCTGCTGTGGTGTGAGGCGTGCCCTGCTTTAAAACCACATTCCCGTTGGCTGCACAGTCATGGTGATGCTTCTATGACTGGGATAAATGAGTTTATTTTGACCTGTAGCTGGGTCAGTGCCAGCCAACTGTGCCCTCTCCTGGAGCCAGCCTGGGTTTTAAGACCTATCCCCAGGCTGCGCTTCCTACCAATGCTGCAGCTTCTCTGCGGTGGAAACTTAATGAGCATTAATGAACTGCAAAATGAAAAGCATCCAGTTTTGCTTTTACTGTCAGGGTCTGACTGACTTCAGGGCACCTCCCAGGAGGCTGGGTCTCTGGTTGGACAGGAAGATTATAATTTGGGATTTGTTAGTCTATTTATTTCCAAGTCCCACAGGCAGGTGCTCTTGTCTGTGTGATACGTACACAGGAGTACCTGCCAGTGATGCCTCCCTTGGATCCTGAGCTATTTTACTTACTGTAGCATGCAGGGGAACATCGAAGTCAAAGATCAAAGCAAATAACTGCAGTCTGCAAACAGTTTTGCTGGGGCACAAGTCCCTGCCTCTTCTATTGAGCATGTCACAAGTGTCAGATGAGTCTCAGCCTCACCTCTCATCCTGCCTGTTGACATGCCAAGCATGTCACATACGCTTTCTCTGTCTATCAAGCACACCATTAGTGGGGTTGAGAGCCTGCTTGCACCACACCACAGCTGCCAGCCTGTGGTTACCTGCAAATGCCTCAGCACCACAGCAGTTCTGGCACCCGCAGCTTCATTACATGTGTGTCCTCTCTGAAAGCAATACAACAGCTCACAGCCCTGTTGGACCATTGCTCTGGGCACAGTGAAGGGAAAGGGGGAAAAGTGCAAGGGAGAGAGGTAGGCACTTACAAGTGCCTGAGTGGCTAGGATGGGATTTTGTAGCTTGCTCTTACATTTAAATTCCAGCCAAACTGTGATTGAAGTGCCAGCTGCACTTCTGAATGCCAAGTGGGATGTTTGTACATGCTTAAACCCCACTGAGCTGTGCCTTTCTCACCTGGCTTCTCCTCCAGCAGGTGTGAACAGGGACACCCAAATGTGCCATCACAGCTTTGCTGTGGCACCATCTATCCTGTGATGCTGCCACGGGATGGAGCGGGAGCGTGGGATGATGCTAGCTGAAGGGCAAGGCACTGTCTCCTCTGCTGCCTCATCTGCCAAATACCCTCCCAAAAGCTGCTTCCAAAAGGGTCAGCAGCTCTGACTCAGGATGGCCTCAAGGGACCAGAAGCTTTGGGGCTGGCCTGTGTGTTGGCTTGCAGTCCCTAAGTCACTCTGGGAAAAGCCCCAGCACCTATCCTTCGTCCTGGTTGCCAGTCCCAGGAAGACGGCTTTGCTCATCCTGAGGCTATCCCTCAGCACACCAGGCAGTGCCGTGCTTGCTGCCACTATCTTTTTACTTGAGCTGTATGGAAAAGAGGAAAGAGGGAAGACAATGAGTCTCTCCAAGAGAGTCCACATTATGGCACTCCGCAGACAGGAGTGTCCCCAGCACTCCCACTGTGCCACATGAATCTAGGCAGCAGGGCTGCTCTGCTGCCCCAAGCCCTCTCGGTCCCTAGGGAAAGTGCCTTCTCACTTGCATTTTGCCACAGCTTAAGGTGCCACATCTGCACAAGAGCAATGAGCCCACTGCCTGCGAGCCCCTTCCTCCTGCACCCAGGTCCCTTGCTGGCCCATCACCTGGGAAGGAGACAGCTGTGTTCCTCCTTGGGAACAGAGGTGGCTTTCTCACCCCTCACCAGCACTGGGTGCCATATCACATGGCAGGAGCATCACACAGCCCCTACTGCCTTGGCCCCTGTTCTGGGTCTCAGCTTCACTGCTGCTCTCCCAAGGCAGTGGTGATAAGAAATGAAGGACAGCTGGACATGGCCAAGACCACCACTTGGATCTGCTTCCCTGCTCCTTCCATTCCTTTGGCCCCAGGAATCCATAGCAGGATCCATCCTCCAGTGAGTGTCACCTGCCATGGCATGAGACTTTGCCTAGCTGGGAAGCTGCTGGAGAGCCCCTGATCACTCTGGCTCTTCACACGGAGCCATGTACCCAGGAGAGCACAAGAAGCATCTCTGTTCCAGCTTGTGTCTGCCCGTGTGGGTATCCCCACACAGGTTCCCACAGCCATATCCAGTGGTGAAAGATGGCACGTGCAGACCACGGAGCACACTGCACACACAGGACAGCAGTGGTTGGCCCTGTACACACCTCCTCTCCTGGCATCCCACCAGCACTACTGTAGGCAGTGCCACGAGGCAGCTGAAGACCACAAAAAAATGCATTATTCTCTTTCTACTTTGCTCAAAATGGCCATCACATGCAGCCATGGTACCGATGGCACCCCCTGCCTCCAGGACCATTTCAGGACATCCTTGCTTCTATACTAAAACCCCCGGTTAATTTGTTTTCAGGTACTGCTACCTGGGCGGGGGGTGGGCAAGAGCAGACACCATCTGGCCAAGTTGGGGTTTTGGCAGGTACATTTTGCAACAATTCCCTGAGCAGCCTCTTGGCTGCCACCACCGCAAGGCTGGCCAAGCTCTCCTGCCAAGCTCGCCTGCTGGAGAGCAGCACTTCCTGAAGAGTTAACTCTCAGTTGCTCCATGCAGCGAGGCCTGACAACCTCTTCTGAGCTCTGAGAGCACGGCCTGGGTGGGTGAGCAGAGAGCTGCTCAAATGATGGGCAGAAAACAGGCATTATTACTGTTATTGCTGTTAATAAGTGCCTGCTGGGGCAGTGAGGCAGGGGGAACACACTGGCACCTTGTAGTTACTCCTGGCAGGCCCCCCCCTGCCAGGGGTGATGTGCTACCCACCCTCCTGGCCCTGCTGCAGGGGACACTGCATGCTGAGTGCTGCCAGAATGACTGCAGGATAAGCAGGGAGCTGCAGGGTTTTCTGATAATAGCCCCAGCACACAGCTCCATTGCCACATGTAGGACTAAGGGTGTCACCAGCAGAGCAGCCCCAGGGAAGCGGGCTCACTGCGGGCCATGCCGCCTGGCCCCATGTCCACAGCAGCTGGCCAGATGCAAGTCCCCACGTGTTGGTGTTACACCCATCCTCCAGCAGCGACGCATACACACGTTTTGGCCATGGGTGGGCAAGGGCAGCCCAGCTGCTGCTGATTGACATGGGTGCAAAGGATAGCCATGCCACCCCGCAAGCCTGCTTTCACACATTGCAAGGTGTTTAAATTCACAGGTTGGGACCAGAAGGGCACTGCATGCAACTGGGGCTTGCAGGAATGTGAAGTTAGAAACCACTAGGTCTGCTGCCATAGCCTGGGAATAGTCATTCGGAAGGGGCCAGCAAAGGCTGATGAGCATCCACAGCAACACAGAGGTAGCACCTATCCTTTGTGCCACATCTGGAGCAAGTTACTTCTTTCCTGACGGAAAATGCTCAAAGGCATCAGGCTGGGTGATACGGGGGCTCCAGGAGCTCATGGGTGCCTGGGCAGGCTGCAGGGAAGGATATGTTCCTGCTCTGCAAGGATTTCTGTGCCCACGTGGCTGTCTGCACGATGTGCTGTTTGACTTGGCCAGCATGAGGGAAAGGGGAAAGGAAAGGCAGAAGGGTGAGGAGGAAGAGAGACAGAGATAAGGAGTCACTTACCCTTACTCCCATGAACCTGTCCCTCAGAACGATCCATGAAAGCAAGAACACAAAAGCTTTGTTGCAGCAGAACAACACGGAGACATCCGTAGTGTTTATTTTCTTTATTGCATGTAAGTAAAGGTAGTTTGTGAGTGTCCAAAGAACACCAAAGGGTGCTGCTTTGGTAAAAAACACCTTCAAAGTCAAACCATTGTCTCCAAAAAATCGGCAGCACTCCCTAAAACAAGGAGAGAAAGGCAGTGTTATTGCACAAACCAGTCACAGTCTGCAACAAGTATATGGGTTCCTTTTCTTACTCGCCTTCTTTTCCTTTGGGGAAAGAGGAGGGCATACCTTAAAGAGGAGCAGAAAAATAAGTTTCAGCTTGTGCTGTAGCACGCAGCACCTGCAGAGTGTACAAACACACCAGGGTGGCAAACATGGGAGGGCAGCAATGAAAGGGGCAAGGGGAGAGGTGAACCTAGGAGGTGAAATCTCACTCACCATGAGTGAGCACCTTCACAGTGGACACTTTGAAACAGTGTGGGGTTATCCTCCTCCTTTCACCCCTGTGGGCACCAGGATGCTGAGGGACCAAGGCTGGCAGCAAAGCCCTTGCTCTCCGCTCCTGGAAGGAGCCTGGTGTGGGGTTTTTCCACCCAAGGGATGACACCTGGCTCAAGCCCCCGCTGCAGCAGCAGGGGCAGGAGCAGGAGGAGGTGGCTGGCAGCTGCCTGCTCCCACTGGAGTGAGGACATGCACTGGGACATGGCGCAGTGGCACCCAGGGACATGCTGGGTCAGCTGGAGCAGCAGCGTGTAGTCAGGAGCTTAGGTGTGCAGTTAGGCCTGTGGATGCTGCAAATCCCAAGCAAGAGGCAGCCGGAGCTGGTATGGCCCTGGTATAGGGAAAGGAAACACCAGTGGTTTATTTGTGTCCTGGAGGCGCTGGCAGGCAGAAAGGGACAAGAGGTGGTGGGCACAGCCTGGCACAGCTCTGGGGAGGCAGAGGGTCGGGGCTGGGATGGGGCTGCCTGGGTCACCTGCCTGCCTGCAACCTGCTTCTGCCGAGCTGCAGAACCGTAGCTGCCAGCTGTGCTGCCTGCATGGAAATTCGGTAACGTGAGGAAGAAATGCAGAGGTCTGGAGGCCAAGGGTGCAGCCTGCAGAAGTCTGCAGGTGGTGGCCAGTGGTGGTGCCGTGCCCTGCGCTGGCTCTGCTTGCTTTCAAACCCGCAACCCCCGCGTCCCTCAAGTACTTCAATGAAGTGTTTTGCAAAATCTGAGCAAAGTTAAATTCTCCTCTGGCAATGAAGCCAAACAGATTTTGACTCTGCTTTGAATGTCAAGCTCTTTGCTTCCCGAGACTGGGCACGTAAGGCTCATTATCTGGAGTCTGATGATGGGGCTATATCAGGTGATTACCTAAAGAAACCAAAGACACTGGGGAGGGCTGCACTGCCAGGGTGTCACAGGCAGCCAGTTTAATGCTCTGAAGGTAAAAACATAAAGCCGGGCACAGTTTAAACTAAATGACCTTAATTAAGATTAATAGGAGAGGGACAGGAAGGATGTAGCCAAATGAAAGGACTAAAATGGAATTTATGTTGGGATTCATTCTGGGAAAGAAAAGTTCCTCCTGCCAAAAGCCTGTTCCCTACCCGTACAACTGGGTTTCACAATTTCACGCACAGTAGAACATGTGCTTTTACTGTACTGTGGGCCCAACTCTTGTTCAGTAGATACCACTGGATCCATATGCTAGCACCACCTGGCATTCGCCACCATCCCTGAAGCACCCAGTGTAGCTCCATGATGCCCCAAAGGACAACCTTGCCTTAGCATGGATCAGGGCCCCAAGCTGCATTTCTCCCTTTGAGACCTGTACAATAAAGCTTGGGTTTAGCTGTTTTTTGGCTGGTTTCACCAATTGCAAATTTCTTCTTGCAAGCTGGCTCCAGCTTCCGAAGGAGACCTCCTTATGGCAGGGGTTTTCCCATCCAGCATAAAGCTGTAAGGGAGCTTCTCTCCAAGAACACCTGGTGCTGTGGAGGGTGCTACCAGACATTCACCCACATGCACAGAGAGCCCTGTTGTCCAAAATGGGTGCACTGCTGAACTGCGGGTACTTTGTAGGGGAAGAAGATGGGTTAGATGGGTTTCTTGGACCTGGCACCTTCAGTGAAGTTGGAGGAAATAGGGGAAATGTGTATTTCAAGCCCCAGGATGGCTATATCCCGTACAATAACCCCCTCACAATTAGTTGTCTCCTCAGGTTCACTACTACTTATCAGGGAAAGTGATTTTTCCTCAGTGCCATAACACAGCTTGTGAAGCTATACATGGAAGCATTTGATAGAGAGGGTTGTCAGTGCATAATGGTAGATAAATAGTCATGGGAAGCAAGACAGGACTGTGATATAACCTATGCTTCAGTCCCCAAACAGTTGGAGGAAGAAATTTCTCCAGAAAAACCAGCCTTCAACTTTAAATATTTCAACAGAACATTTTGGACACAGTTGCTCCTGCTGTCCAGTAATTTCAGTTTTGCCAACAAGGATGCTTTGTACACAATGAGTATCCTGATGCTTTATGGATATGCCTTGGAAAAAGCAGAGCTGGTGTCCTGTGGTACTCCAGATGTGCCTGACTGCACCAGAAGAGCCTAACTATGAGCATTTTAACAATCTCATCTGCTAATGGAAATGTCACTTTTTAAGAAAGACAACCCCCCACCCTGCCTGGAGGGCAGGCTGTGAGTGTTCAGCATTCTTTGGAGCCCAACTCAGCACTGTGGACCCTAGAATGAGGCCTGAGCCCAGGTATCCCAAAAACATGGGTCAGATGGGGAGCTGGTATTGGTTCCTTCAGGTTTTACAGGACAAACTCCTGCAGCTCTCCCTGCCCATGGCAGGACACAAAGGGAGTCCTCTGTTTGCACCAGAGCGAGCTGGCTGCCTCCGGGCTGGGGTGGAGGTAGCATTTGGTATCTCCTCCTGGGACAAGTGTGCAGTGATGGCGAAATGCCCTGCTCCGGCAGGGACACCACCAGCCTCCTCTGGCTTTGACTGCCGAGGACAGCAGCCTGTGAAAGACTGGAACGGAAATGTCAAAGGATGGATACTGGAAGGAAAGTGTACTGGCTTAACCACTGCAGCAGTAAAAAAGAAAAGCTTGCTCCCACTCAGATGTGCTGTATCTGTGTTCACAGACAATCTGAAGGCTCACAGCTGAAATAAAAGGCAGGATTACACTGCTGGGAGGAGGTCTACATGTGAACTGAGAGAACTGCATTGTTATACATAGCCCTTGGGAAGTGGGAAGTGTTTTCAGAGAGATGTTACATAGTGGATGTGCCCGCCATGGGGTGTTGCTGAGGGGGCTGCTGAAGCAGGCACCTCTGCTGTGTGTCAGAGTAACAGGATGGTGCAGGTGGGAAAAAGCAGCACATGCTTGGCCTGGCTGCTCTCTTCTTCAGGGTGACAACTGGGATGGGTGGTGTAAAGACCATAAAGCCCATCCTGGGGCAGAAGTAGGTGCCTGGCTTTCAGGGTACCATCTGCATGGGATGACAGCGATGGGGACACACAGAAACCTGTTTTATAGAATTTATAATATAATTTATTATTTATAATTAATAAAAAAAATGTAAAAAATAAAGCATTAGGCACCACATGACATAACTGAGCCCACTTTACGCTGCTGTGGCAAAAAAACCCTGCAGTAACAGCCCCAAAGCAAGGTTTAGCAAGTTTTGACCAGCACCAGCCAGGCTGCACGTACCAGTGGTTCTCTCTCCCAGTTGGGGGCTCTGGTCCCCTGACACTTGTCACAGGGTGCCCCTGACAACTTGGCCTTATGCAAACATGTAATGTCACCTGGGAAAAAACACTTAGATGCTACAGCACTACAGGAACTATGCTGGGATGAAAAATACTAAAGGAAAGCCTAAGGCACAGAGAACTTACTGTTTGTATATTCACTCTAAATTGTTTGCTGGTTTCCTAATCTTTCATGTACTAGTTCTTGGTTTTGCTCATAATCATTTTTGTGTGTATCTTCATTAACCCAGCAAATGGCAAATTAGCTCTGCCCCATTAGGCATGTCTTCAGCACAACAGTACTAGCAAAATACCTCCGTTGCTGGAACTGAACATGCCCAGTGAAGTAAATCAGAAGTCGGCGGTACCAAAATTGTGTGCTAAGTAAGAGTTAATCATATTGAAAGCAGGTGCTGCAGTCAAATAAAACTTGCGAATAAAATGATGATAATGCTCCATTTTTTCCCCACTGAGCTCACAATTATCATAGATTATCATCATTATGTTTAACACTATCCATCTTCCACTGCCTGCTTTGTCTTTAACCATTGCTAGGTAGCCAGGAGGTTTCTCCACTGCTTTGAACCTTGTGCAGATGAATGTATAAAATTCTGCCGAGACTGGAAGGAACGCTTTTTGCCCCCATTTTGCAAAAAAAGACCCCTATGAAGAGGAAAGGTTGGCAAGAACCAGAAAAAGCACACACAGTGCATTCCCCTGGGCTGCGGTTTGGTCTCTTGATAACTCACTGCAGAGCAAACCTGTGCCAGAGAGGTTAATAAGCCATTGAAGCCGCTATAACATCCTTGTGAAAGGTGCAGCAAAGTAGAGATTTTCTGGGAGGAATACGCATCCTAAGGGGATACTTTGCACACGCTGGTTATTTCTCCTTTCCAGACCATTAGCTTCTGTCACAGTTTTTTCACCATCTCATTGCTCATACCAGAGCCTTCTCCTCCAAAGAAGGTTTGGATCTGCTGTTGTTACTAGCAGGTGGTGTTTTCTCCTTTGTAGACTGCGCTTCTTACCTTGACCTTGCAAGGTCTGTACCTGCAAAATGAATTTGGCTAAATTGCTCCTCATTTTCAGCAGAGTGAGCATCACCTCCCTGGAGCACAGGAAAGCTGCCACTGTGGCACTGAATCTGTCCTCTTGATTATAGATTGGCAGGCAAAACATATTTTCCTAATCCATGTACTGATGAGGCCTGCATGGATAAATAATCTGCAGATGCACTGTTAACAGTTGTAGGTTTTCCATTCAACACAGGAAAAAAGATATATGGACTTAATATATCATGCCACATCTTCGGGGGGTGGGAGGGGGGGACGACTCACAAGCCAGGTGCAGTATCCAAAAGCAAAGATGATGGATGATGTGCCCTGGCTGTTAATAGGAGGGAAGGAAACTATACCCAAG